TCTCGAACCCGCGGGCTCAGGCAATCCACTCACCTCAGCCTCCCAAAGGCGCGGGATTACAGACTGAGCCACCGAGCCCGGCTGACCCTGCTTTCATTCACATCAAACAACTGACCCATGACAACTGACCCACAGAGAATGTGGGTCAGTCCCACCCTCCCCACATTCCACCTGCCCTTCCTCCATTGCCTTCCAGGGAGCCCCAGGCGAGAAGGCTCTGTGGGGAGCCTCTGTCTCTATCACTGCTGAATTCCTTCCTTGTTCCAAAACCAGAGACCTGTCCTTCCCATGTTATTCCACTTCATGCTCATCTTCACCATGAGGTTTGCCTCCTGAAATTCCTCAGAGCAATAGAATGGAAACAAGACATCTACGTCCTCTTTGCTTTCATGGCCCCATTCTTCACCCCCGTTCTCTGTGATGTGACCTTTCTGCTAAGTTCTTGATCATCCTCTCTCCCGTCTTACCAGTGTTATCTGCACAAGTGATTTCCAAAATGTCATCCTGAAGACCACGTCAACCTTGACAAACTGAGATCTCTAAGGTTCTGGCCCAGGAATCTGCACTCCTAAAACACCCACCGATGCTTCTGATGGAGACAATCTGATTAGTAATGCTTGAGGACAAACATCTCTATATTTTATTTGCAGACAAAACTCTCCAATCCTCTCCCATCCTCATGTGGCTCTGAGTGAGGTCCTACTGCAAGGCATCCTCGGTGAGCCATTCATTCTAGTAAGGACCAATGGAAATGAACAACCAGGCCTTCTTTGGAATACAAGTCTCATGGAGAGCTGTGCCAGTCCTGCCGGCGACTACTTGACCCTTTCCTTTCATTTCAGCACGGTGAAGCTTCTCACAGGCTTGATTTTCTGCTCCTTGATCCTGGGATCCCAAGGCTAGCTTTCCTTCACTGGGGAGCCTGCTTTAGTAAGGCTGATGGGGAGAAATGCCTCCGTGGCCACTAGGAGTCACTCTTGAGGCGAGTCTGCTTGCCTGTGGATGTGGGTAATAATGGATATAGATGCCACAGTGAGGCAGAGAAGGAACGTGGCTTTCCCATCAGGATTTCTCTAGCTGGCAGGGAGGCCTTGGCACCTGTCTGTGGCAATAGCAGATACTGGTCACAGGTCAGACCCTGAGTTCTAGGTCACCCTGTGGAGCTGTGCTGGTCCATGATTGTCCCTTGGGAAAGCACATATCTCTGCCTAGAATCAGTGGGAGGCTCAGCCTCTGGGAGGTTCATCTGTGTCTGAAGTAGAGAAGGTGTATAAGATTTCAGAAGATAAAAACCACCTAGGACATGATAAAATGACAAAATCGTGTTTTCAGAAGGCTACTGTTTAACTGTCAGAGATGTTGCTATAGGACTGTAATGAACTAAGGGTGTCCTGGGTTTCTGATCTGAGGTCCTTCAGATTTGCTGAGAAAATCTGTTTGTGCTGCCCAAAGTGCCAAAACATGCCAGGTATTTTGGGAGGTGCTCAACAGATTAGAGAATTTAGGATTTGTGTTAATAGCTACTCAAAGGAAGGACAGGCATCATTCCCAGGTGAAGCTAAACTGTTTGCTTTGAGTAGAAGACACAAAGTAAGGTCTGAAATTTGTATAAAATGTCCATTAGAACAAATTTCATACAAGTATGACTAAAGCCATCTGTCAACACTTATCTCTTCTTCTGTCTCTTTCCTTCCTTCAACTTCCCGGGTGGATAATTTAAAGAAGCCTTTAGCTTAGCTCTGCCAGTCACTCCCTTCCGGCCTTCCTGCCTTCTTGCCTTCTTGATGGAAATCAGGAACTGACATACATGAAACCCCACAAGGAGTTGAGTATTTCCTCCTTGAACTACAGAATAAATCTATGAGGCATTTCCTCCACTGGGAAGGAGAGAGAATGAGATCAAGAGCAGCTGAGTTGTGATCAGAGACTTACTGACTGTCTGCAGGTGGCAGAGAGGAGGTCTGAGTCCAGTTGTGCGTAAGGTAAAGCTCTTCCCAGGAGGATGTGTCTGCTGACCACTTCCTGGAGCGTGGTAGTTATCAGTCTCAGCACTTGTTGGAGTTTCCTGCACTACCCATGCCTGGAACTCCCCCAACAGAGAATCTGCTGAAGTTGGCCTGGTGTGGCCTGGGCATGGGGACTTCAATATCTCTCCAGGCGACTAGAAAGTTCAGCCAAGGCTGAGAACCACAGCTCTAGCGCCTCCTCAAGCCCCTGCAGCAACAATACACTCTACTTTGAAAGTGTGTAGGGACGTTTCTGCCCCTAGCAGGCATTGGGACTCAAGTCACATTATGTGCATTCAGTTTGCAAGAAAATATACTCTCGAACTCAGGGCAAAAGTGCTCCAAGTATGTGGTTACTCTCATCATGTCTTCCGTGTCACCACCTCACTGATGTATGTTCCTGGATCTTGTCCTATGTTGCTTTATTCTGTAGCAGTGACTCTTTCCTGGGGCAAGTTGGCCTTGTCTGGAGATATTTTTGGTTGTTTACCTGGGAGAAGGTGCTGCCTCAGTAGAGGCCAGGGATGTTGCTAAACCTTCTACCATGCTCAGGACAGCTCTGAAAAACAAAGAATTATCTGGCTGAATGTATCTATTGTGCTAAATTGAGAAAATTATACAACCCACCATTTAAAAAAAGAGGTATGGACAGAAGTGGTAAATAAAATAAGGGGTGGGCCAGGTACAGACTAAAATAAGTGTCGGATTCTGACTTAAAGTCTGCCACCAGATGCAGCTGTGCAACTGAAGTACATCAATTCACTTGCCACTCACTGATAGGGTTTTGATATGAGTCTGCAGGCAATTGATTTATTATGGTCTCTGTGTAGTCAAACCTGTTAATCTGTATTTGCAGTTGCTCCCCAGTGCTGGCATCACTGCCTCAGCCCCACCTCAGATCATCAGGCATTAGATTTTCCTAAGGGGCATCCAACCTAGAGCCCTCACATGTGCAGTTCACAATAGGGTTCTCACTCCTATGAAAATCTAATGCCGCCACTGATCTGATAGAAGGAAGAGCTCAGGCAGTAATGCAAGTCATGGGGAGTGGCTGTAAATACAGGTGAGGTTTTGCTCGCTTGCCCACCGCTCATATTCTGCTATGCCTCCTGGTTCCTTATAGACCACAGACCAGCCCTGGGTTTGGGGACCTCAGCCATAGAACCCTAAGTAAGATGTGGCACAGGCAGCACAGTGGTCAGACAAGCAAATACGACACAGGTGTGCCTCCCCCACAAAGAACTCTCACTAGTGTTAACCTGTGGAAGCCAACTAGGATTAAGAAAGGCTCTTCTCAACCCATGGTGTTCAAGGATGCTGGGATCACAGGCTGACATCTTGAGGTCAGTGGAAGAGTTTGCATTCTTTGACTCCTCTATAAGGTGCTGTCACATATATGTGTTCACCTTATATCCCTTTGGCCTTTCCTTCCCTTTCCAGGGGCTTGGGACATGTGGAGAGCCTACTCTGACATGAGAGAAGCCAATTACATCAGCTCAGACAAATATTTCCATGCTCGAGGGAACTATGACGCTGCCCAAAGGGGACCTGGGGGTGTCCGGGCTGCAGAAGTGATCAGGTAGCTGGAGCTTCTGGGGTGCCAGTGATGGGTGAGCAGAGTTGACTGCCTGGGGGATCAGGAGGGATGAACTCTGGGCAGGTTCCTCTAGCTGTGGCCCCTACTCATGCTCATCCTTTGCCCCTAACACCATTCATGCCCAGTGGAGGCACTGGGCTGCCACCAGAGCCAGAGTATGGTTGATGAAGATGGGCGAACCAGCCCACAGAAAGCTTAAGGGACCATGGAGTGATCTCAACCTTCCCTCTCTGAGTCCTGTTCGCATAGGCTAAGGGTGCTCAGCCTGGCTGAGTAGGGCTGTGCCCAGGCAGGGTCAGTATTTCAGCTCCTCCCTCTTTGGCCTTTCTGGGCTCCTTTAACTGCTTTCCTCGGAAAAGGGAGGATGGAAACATGGACGGTTGCTCACCAGTCCAGGGATTAATCTCTTTTCTGTCTCGATTCCAGTGATGCCAGAGAGAACATCCAGAAACTCTTAGGCCACAGAGCAGAGGACTCAGCTGCCAACCAGGCTGCCAATGAATGGGGCCGGAGTGGCAAAGACCCCAGCCACTTCAGACCTGCTGGTCTGCTTGACAAGTACTGAATTTCCTCTTGACTCTGCCCTCAGGACACCAGACTGTGAGCCCCTGAGGGCAGGGAAATGGAGTTATTGAGTTCTGTGTCCACAGAACCTGGTAGAGGGCACACAATAAGTATCTAGTAAATGCTTGAATTGGTTGAAACTGTGTGTTATTCTTTGAGGTAATAACTACTTGTTTGGTACGAAGGACTGATCCATGCACACCGATGTGAAGGTTAAGGCTTGGCCTGTGTGTTTGGTTGTGGGGGAAGCCTTCATGTTTTTTTTTCCTTTGGGTTGGAGTCTCACACCATTACCCAGGCTGGAGTGCAGTGGCACACTCACGACCACCCCAGCATCGACCTGCTGCTCTGGCTATCCTTCCACCTCAGTCTTCCAAGTAGCCGGAACTACAGATGCGTACTACTATGCCTGGGTAATTTTTTGATTTTTTGTGGAGACGAGGTCTCACCAAGTTGCCTAGGCCGGTCTCGAACCCTCAGGCTCAGGCAATCCACTCGCCTCAGCCTCTCAAAGTGCTGGGATTACAGGCTGAGCCACTGAGCCCGGCCAGGGGAAGCATTCTTAGTGGTCACACATTGCAGACACCTGCACCGACCCCTCGCTCATTCAGATCCACTTCCCTCCAGGCCTTATGATTACATCATTGCTACTTACAGGCCCTTCCATGTCTAGGTTCCTTATTCCCTGTTAACTGTGCCCTGTTCCCCTCCTTCTCCTGGGGTCTGTGTCTCTGGAGCCATAAGCCACAGACATGGGAGGATTTGACTATGAATTCCTGCCCAGCAACTGCCACCTTGACCTTCTCTTTCTTAGTGACACCTATAAATCCAGGTATTAACCAATCTCTGTGCAGTCCATCTAAAAAATGCCTTTCAAGCAGTCTCCTTTCTCTCTATTTTGATTGGCTTATCTTAAGTCTAAATGAAGATGTAATGTGGGGTAGTTTCTTTCACCCATGCCATCTCCGCCACATCACCCTGTCTTTTCTCTCTTCTTTCTCTATTAAACTTTGTTTGAAAACTTAAAAAAAAAGATGTAATCTCACACATTTTATGAATGTTTCTTCACAGTTTATGTACCTTAACTTGATCAAAACTGTGAATGTGGTGGCAGTGAAGAGAGACCTGGATAGAGAAGCCCCATTCATCAGTCAGGATCCAGTCAGGAGTCAGGAACCAGGCAGAATTTGAAAATGGAAATTTTAATATAAGAAATTAACAACTAGTAACAGTGTCAACTCCTAAGACTAAAAAATACAAGAAGGTATAAGTTTGAGAGTGGGCCCCACAAGGTTGAGGTTTAGATATTGTAGGAAAGTCTGTTGCCCACTGGATGGCAGATTGTTTCCTGGTGGCTACAAACCAAAGCTGAAAAACTAGGACTCCACTGAGGTGCTTGTGAAACTTGGCAGGAACCTTCCCAGAGTGTTGTTGAACTTGGCAATGCTGCTGGGGTTCCTGCAACTCACTTGGAAGCGGCTCACACGGGGGCAGGAGGCAGGAGGCAGGAGGCAGAAGCTGCTGAGTTCCCCAGGAAGCCAACTGAGGGTGCAACAGGCTCAGTACTGAATGGTGTCTTCCTGAATTCATATATTGAAGCCCCATCTCCCAGTGTGGATGTAGTAATTGTTAGAGCAGCCTGAGCTGACTAAGACAAGTGGGGTGCTGCTGTATACCCTGGAAATCCCACTGAGGTGCCACAGAAGTTGTCGGGAAACTGCCTTGGCCTTGGGATACCCCTCAAATCCTCTGGGGTGAGGCCACTGGGTCCTGCACAGGAAGAGAGCACCATGGAAGCTGGAAGGAAGCAAAGCAGACAGGACCAAGGAAAGATGACTTTATTTCCTGCTTGTCCCTCCAGCGTCCTCTACAGGTACAGATTAACATCGTGCCCAGCTGGCAAAGGAGAAATGTCACAAGGTCCAACTCCAGTATCACAAACAGGGTGAAGAAGGGTGGCTGGGAGCTCAGAGTAAACACATTGGTAACAGTTTACCCTGCTTTCCTGATAAAGGAATTGCACAGGATTCCTATGGGGAAAGATTAATGATAAAATTGTATTTATAAGCTGGGCTCGGTGGCTCAGCCTGTAATCCCACGCTTTGGGAGGCTGAGGTGAGTGGATTGCCTGAGCCCACGGGTTCGACACCTGCCTGGGCAACTTGGCGAGACCTCATCTCTACAATAAATTTAAAAAAATTAGCTGGGCATGGTAGCATGCACCTGTAGTTCCGGTTACTCGAAAGGCTGAGGCGGAAGGATCGCTGGAGCCCAGCAGGTCAAGGCTGCGGTGGCCGGCAGCGGCCACTGCACTCCAGTCTGGGTGACAGAGTGAGACTCCAACTAAAAAAAAATTGTATTTATAGGGGAAAGACATATTTAAGATATTTGTGAAGGTGGAGAGAATGTGTGCCTATGAAGTACAGCCATTCACAACAGAACTTTCTCATACAGTTTCCATCAGAAATTACTAACAGACTTGCAGGTACAGAAGGTTTGGAAGGTTTGAGGCTGACTCTCAAAAACATGTGTCTATGCCAACATAAGCCATGGGCAAAAAAATAAGATGAAGGAGACCCTGGTTGGTGGGATCAGGCTCAATGCACTGCTTAGTTAGGGTTCAGTGTGGTGTAGTCTGAACTGATCCCAAGTGGTAAGAAGACTGTAATGCTGATATTAGGTGTTTATGATTAGACTTCTGTCACAAATACTGAAGTTGTCAATTTTGGGGGATAGGAGAGAAAGAATGGTTTTTAGTTTTATTTTACTTTTTGATGCAGAATCTTGCTCTGTTGCCCAGGCTAGAGTGCTGTGCTGCAATCATAGTGCACTGTAGGCTCGAACTCCTGGACTCGTGTGATCCTCCCACCTCAGCCTCCAGAGTAGCTGGGACTACAGGCACTCACCATTATCTGGCTAATACAATTTTGTGTGTGTGTGTATGTAGAGATGGTGTTTGCTAGGTTTCCCAGGCTGGTGGTGAATTCCTGGTTTCAAGTGAGCCTCCTGCCTTGGCAGGAGTTGGCATTATAGGCATGAGCCACCATGCCCAGCCAAGAATGGCTTTTAAAGGCAAATAAAGCAAGATTTCCAAGTCTTTGTAGACATGCAAAACTTTATAATCAGTGTATTATTTCTAGTATTATTACTAGTATTATTACTAGAAATAATACACTGAGAAAAATTTGCATATAGAAGTTCACTCCTCAGTGTGTAAATGACCACATCATTACACTTCTTGGGGTCTGTAACCTGAAAAAACAATTTTTTAAGGCCAGGCACGATGGCTCAAGCCTGTAATCCCAGCACTTTGGGAGGCCAAGGCGAGAGGATTGCCTGAGTCCAGGGTTCGAGACCAGCCTGGGCAACTTGGCAAGACCTCGTCTCTACAAAACGTCCAAAAAAATTAGCCAGGTGTGGTAGTGCGCACCTGTAGTTCCAGCTACTTGGAAAGCTGAGGGGAAGGATCACCTGAGCCCAGTAGGTTGAGGCTGTGGTGACTGTGAGCATGCCACTGCATTCCAGCATGGGTGACAGAGTGAGACTCCAACTCAGAAAAAAAAAACAACCAATTTTTTGAATTAAGGTTTTTATCCAAGGAAAGAGTTGCTTGGTTTACTCATGAATTTATGATTTATAAAATCATACCTAATCCTTCTGCTTTAATACACTTGCACGCCTTTTATCCATGACCCTGTTTTCCTCAGTCAGAAATAATGTACCCCAAGTTTCTCTCTGTTAGAAAGGTTTCAGGAAAGGAGACTGACTTGCTCTATTGGATCATAATTTTATATGTCAGTTTGAGTGTGACAAAGGGTGCCCTAATTAAACATTGTTTTGGGGTGTGTCTGTAAGGGTGATTCCAGGAGAGATTAACATTTGAATTGGTGGATTCGATAAAGTAAATTGCTATCCTCTCAAAGTGTTTGGGCATCACCCAAGCCTTTGAGGGCCTAAATCTGAGATAGGGATAATGCTAGACGGTCTCGGGGGATGAAAATATGCCAGGCAGAAGTTAAGAAATCACATGACTCACAAGAAAGGAACTGCTTATCAGAGTCTCTGGAAACCTGGTTACAAGCTTTATTGCCTGCCCAGCCCAGAAAGTAAAACCAGCAAGAACTAGATTAATCCAACATGGCCATGGATTTGACCTGCAAGTGATCACCAAACTCATTGTACTCTCATTGTAATACTTTAGCATGCTAAATGACACACCTGTCAGCAGCATGACAGCCCTGATTGTGACCAAATATGGGTAGAAAAGGAGAGGGTACTCAATTCCAGGAAAACCCTGCCTTTCCTCAGAAAACCTCGTGAATATTTCACCACTTAGAGGAACCCCATGAAGGTATAAACCCCATGCTCCATTCTTGAGTACAGCTGCACTCTTTCCCTCTGAGTGTGTACTTTCACTTTATAATAAAACTCTTTCACTGTCAGTTTCACTTCAGTCTGACTCATCCTTGAATTCTTTCTCCTGATGGTGTCAAGAACCTGGGCACCAGGATGAAGTCGAAGGTCTCAGCTGTTTCAGGAGATCCTCCCAAGCTCCCCAGCATCAAATTGAATAAAAGTGGAGAAAGGAGGAATTTGTCTTTTTTCCCTGCCTTACTGCTTGAGTTGGACATCTCCTCTAATCTCTTACCCTCAGACTGGATTTAAATATCAATTCCTCTGGTTCTCAGGCCTTTGGACTCAGACGAATTATACCATTGGCTCTCCTTGTTCTCTAGCTTACAGATGGTAGAACATGGGACTTCTCATCCCCAGTAATCTCATGAATCCATTCTTTATAATAAATAAATAAACATCATCTTTTTCTTGTTTCTCTGGAGAACAGTGACTAACACAATATCAAATCTTTTTAGTTTTATCTCCTATGACTTTAATTTATGTGCCTAATGCTACAGCCAAATTGAGTTACTTGATTCTTTCTCTCTCTCTTTCTCTTGGGCTCAAGTCACCCACCCACTTCAGCCTTCAGAGTAGCTGAGACTGATGGCACATGCCACCATATCCAGCAAATTAAAAAATATTTTTGTAGAGATGAAGTCTC